AGATATAGTGATGTTAGAGATTTTTAAAAGACGTTCCATACAGATAACACTATAGCATGGAAACAAAAAGAGGACGCTGCTTTTCGAGGTTCATATTTTAATGATTTTTCGTGCTACGCTATCTCCTGCTCACAGGTTTCTTTTTCACACCTGACAGTGAAAAAGAAAATCAGAGTGTGACAGACGAGATATGGTGATGTTAGAGATATTTAAAAGATCGTCAGTGTCATACCGACTTTATAAACAATACTGTAGCGTAGAACAGAATACAGGATGCTGCTTTTACAGGTGCATAGTTTCATGATTTTTCGTGATACACTGTCTCTTTGCACCTTATAGTGAAAAAGAAAAACAGAAAGTAAGAGGGAAGATTCTGTGATGTTAGAGATATTTAAAAGAAGTTTCATAATGCCAACATTGCACAGAGTCTATAGACAGTACTGCAGCTTAGACACAGAGTAAAGGATGTATGATTGTTCATGATACAGTATCTGCCTCTCATGAGTTTCTTTTCTGCACCTTACTGTAGAAAAGAGAGTGTGAGACGAGATGATTTTAGAGATATTTTTACAGACTGTTGCTTAGAAATAGAGCAGAGGAGGCTCCTTTTAGAGGGTTATAGTTTCTGCTGCACTGCGATGCACACGCCAGGCTGGATTTTATTTTTGAAACATTTTAATGCCGTTTTAAAAATGAGTGAAATAGAAAATCCAGCATCAATCATTTCTGTTTTATGTATTTTGATTTGTATGTGCAGCATGACTGCACGTGACTCGCTCTGTTTAAACAGATGCATGCAGCCTCAGCCCTGCACAGCCTCTTGTAGGCACCGGTTCAGCATAAAATAATTCACTCAAATAACTCCATTTGTCATCGCAGTTTCTACGCTTACAACCTTACAAATTAACCCGATCAGAGCCCAGTTATGTTCCTAACAAACAAACAACAACAGAAATATTGTGTTGGTGGATTTCTACTCTAAATGTAATTCGCCATCAGTCGCAAAAAAAACGTACTGATTAGGGGACTTTATTTTGTGTTTGTTTTTCTGTCCATTCCAGTGGACGCAAAATGGCAATTACAGACCTTTTTTAAACCAAAAACATGAGTTAATTTATTTTTAATGAGTGGTTAACTCTTATCAATGACTGAAATGATGCTTTAAAACATATTTCAAATATATTTTGACTGAAAATTTTCCTCCATTTCTGAAGTATCTCCTGTACACAGTACGTTTAAAACCTCCTGAGGTGAATATTCTGCGTACACATCCACTGGGATGCACTATAAGCTGATTGTATCATTAGAAAATCAACTCACAACTGTATTTTCCTTTTCCCGTCACATTTTCCGGTGACACTCCCTCGTCCACTCCAATGGACGGATATTTTTGAAAAAATCCTGAGTAAAAGCCACAAATCTTTCGCATGATTTTTTGACTTATATCAGTAATATAACATCTTATGACTCCCTTAAAACACAGTTTAAACACAAATTATGTGCATTAACAAGATGATTAATGGACTGAAACAGGCCTTACGCTTATTCCTTTCCTCACAGTCGGCCATGCTTGTTAAAAAAGGGGGCGTGGCTCCACTGCAATCCACTTTAGATGATGTGGAACACTGTGATTGGCTTATAGACGTCTTGTCAAATACGCCTGTGCGTTTAGGTGGAGGCGAATGACAGTGAGTCATGGAGTTACTGGAATGGACCGGGGATCTGAACGGGTTAATGACAGAGGAAGATTTCCAAATAGTAGCACAGCGAAAGAAAACTTGTGCCGTAAAAATTAAGTCAAATAATTAAAGAGTTTCTGTCATTAATTCAGTAGTTGTTTGTCTTTAGGTATATATGAGCATTTAGGTTTGAATACATCTATCTGTGTGTGTGTGTGTGTGTGTGTGTGTAATTACAGTATACGTGTCCCTGCCTGTGTATGGGCCCCTAGAGTTGTTGGCCCATAACAGCGCGCCTCAGACAGGACCACCCCAGGGGCCGTCTGACTCTGCCTGTGTCTGTCTGTCTGCTCCATCCAGCAGGGTCAACTAGGTCTGTGAGAGCTGCTAAAGTGGCACAGCTGCACACGCACACCGTCACAGCCACCTGACACACACACACTTGCACACACACACACACACACACACACACACACACACGGATAAAATGCATTTATGCAGAAAAACTCAACATGCATGCAGGAGTACACACACAGATAAGAGCCACACACACATATGTGCATGCTGGAACGCATACAATGACTCCCATCTCACATTAAGGCCTGCATCTCCCACCAACACACACACTCATGCACACACACACACACACAGCTTAAAGGCTCCCACATGAAGGCATCAAACGCTCCACAGCCAGCTTTATGGCACTCATATGGCAGCAGATTTGATATTTTCCTACCACAGCGGGGGAATAAAACTCGCCACTAATTTGGACTGCGAGCGCCACCGCTAACTTTCAGCATGTGCCGACTGACTGTGTCTTCCAGATGTGTGGACTCTTTGCTCCTTAACAGCCTTACTTAAGAGGCATTAGAAACCTCACACCCCGTCCCGGCTACGCATGGAGAGTGATGACGGCGCTTTGGTATTCAACACAAACACGCTGCTTTGTGTTGAGCTTTGAGTGAAGTGCTGATGTGAACTTCATGGTTTCGCTGCTACGGCCCATAAGTTGTCTTGTGTCAGTGCTGTGAATGTGTTTATGTTCTTTGCATAAATAGCTATAATCAAGGTAATTTGACTGCTGCTCTGTAGTTATTCCAGTTCCCCTCTCTGCTGCTCCTCTCTGCCTGTGACATATGATAACAGGTGTGCTTTCATCAGTGCTGAGTAATGTTGCAAATGTTAGAAAGGAACCTACTGTGATTACAGCACAAGCATGCATGTGTACGTACACTCTCGCTGGCATGCAAGACCCCGGACGAGAACCTGCTCAGCAACACATCTCCACGAAACCTACACGACGGCCGTGCAGATAAAATCCTCATGTGTCTGTGTGTGTTCAGCCATTGTGCAGCCTGCCACACATTAGTGCATAACATATAATACGCCCCTTTCAGGAGTAAATGGGGAGATTTTCTGACCGGGGCGTTCACTCACGTTTTCTTCTTCTATTGAAAAGTAGCGTGTGTTTGCCTTTAGGAGGAAAAGGGCTACCATTAGTACTTGTGAAAAGGAAAAGAGATGGCGCTTGTTAGCAAGTCAGACATGGGTAATCCTACTTGCGACGCCGTTGTTGTTCCTTTTCCTCTTATCTTATTAGCGTCCTGCTCTGATTGGGCGGGACTGTGGGAGAAGAAAATGAGGAGACAGCGTTTATGGCCGTCTTTTTCCTTTTACAGGCTGCTTCACCGCAAGAGATATTGAAAGCCTTTCATGGTACACTTACGATTGCCCTTATTTCATCCACTTATTTGTCTCCAGCAATTACTCGCAGGGAGAACACTAGACGCAGACAAACACATGATGAACATAGGCCGCCTTTATGTTGGGTTGTCACTTAGATGTAAATCAGGGGTGTGCCAGGAGCAATATTTAGTCTGCAAACAACATATTATTGATACAAACTATATTCTGACATACACATTCTGTGAGTTGAATGATGGCGAAAAACCATGAATAAAAATGCACCAAACATATAGTTAATGGGTCAGTCCAACAAAAAAATGCTGAGGCCTTGATACATCTCTTCCTCAACAACACTACAGAGCACTTAAAAATGCAATTTAAAACAATTAAAAGCAACATCTCTTCACTGAAACAGCATCACTGTGGACAGTTTCCATAGGGACTATTTTTTCAGGGGGTAGAAAGTAGTTCCTTTATGTCGGTTTGTCTCTTGGATGTAAATCAGGAGTGTGCCAGGAGCAATATTTAGTGTATAAACAACATATTGTGTATTGATACACAGCATAGTTTTCTGTCATACACACTCTGTGAGCAGGTAAAGTTGAACAAAGGCGAAAAAAGCCTGAAAAAATAAAATCAAATATCTAATGTTAAGGATCAGTTCAACACAAAATGTTGAGGTTTTGTCGCGTCCAAAACAATACAACATCTCTTCCCTGAAACATTAGTGTGAACAGTTTTGATAAAGACAAAGACAACGAGAGGTGGCTCCTGATTATCCACAGCACCAGAGACATGTTATCTCTAAAAATGTATTTTTTTCACCATTGTGAGCACCACTGACATGTAGCGATGGCACCCATTTTTGAGAACTGGGACGAAACTTTACAGTTTTTTATTTTTACGTCCTCATAATCAGGCTGGAAAAATACCCTTCAAA